TTTGGATGGCTTGGCTAATGTCCTTCCAGGACTCCTCTAACCATACAGGACCTGTGGAGGGGTCCTGGTGAGCTTTGGGGTGCTGCAAATCCCCCTTCCTGGAGGACTGACCCAGGAGGATCTGGATTTCCTCTTCTCATCACTTGCTTCCTTCCTTCCCTTGATTCTCACCCTCCTTGGAGGAGGGGGCATCCCCTTCCCAAACTAAGTTAACCCACATCCCACTCCCCAGCCCCTTTCTTCTGGTCCCCAAGACCCTAACAAGCTGATACGGTCTGTCACTTTGGTTGACAAGAGTGCTGACATACTATGGGGAGCATCTCACCTTGATACCCTAAACTTGACACTGGGTAAGGGTTAAGTGGGTTCTGCGGTCTGAGGCCTCAGAACAAGAACCAAAGTTGTGGCTGTGATCTGACTGGTAGAGGTATTTGGTTCTTGTGGCTAAGGGCTTCACTTTCAGGAATGAAGGGCTGTTAAAGACACCAGAGAAGGTCCTAGATTTGAGTTCTAAGTTGAGCGCTGGGGTGTGGACAGACCAGAGGGTAGACAACCCTCTAGAGCAGCAGCCAGGGGCCCTTAGAGAGGGAGGCTGTCTTAGTCACCATCTTGGCCAGATCGCTATCAACTGTTTGCTGCTGACTAGGGTTTCCACTCCTGGGTGAGTAGGATCTGGCAGGGAGGATGAGTGACCAGTGGCCCTACCACACAGGGTCACATTTCAAAGGGGTTCCAAAACTCTGTCCAACCCTGCTGACCAAAACTTACCTTTTCAAACTGATAGTTATTCTTCAGAGGTATCTCCAGGGACATTTTTTGTTGTTCCATAAGGAGTTGAGACTAATTTTTATTTTTATTCAAGACAATTGTTTTCTCTCAAACTCAGAATTCCGAAAGCTCACCTTAGGTTTGGGCCTCTCAACACACACGATGGGTAGAGAGAGTACAGGTGGAGTCAGTGATGACATGTATGGAGAGTTGGGGGTAGTGACAGAAGTGGGTTCTAGATGAATGGTATGTGAGGCCCTCCAGGATCCTTTCAAGAAGATTCTACTTAAGGTCACCCAAATCTCAACAAGGGGATCATAAAGAGGCAACTTCAGAAAGTTTGTGGAAAACCCCATTTTCTTTTTATTTTTCCCACAAACTTTTGGAAGCTTCCCATTCATAGACTCAAATCAGAAAAAGATTTAAAAAGTCAGATACCACACCCTCACCTGGCTCATGTTCCATGACTTCTGCTTGAAACTACTCAACTCTTGTTGATCACACGGAGCAAATATCAAGCAAGAAGTTTCAAGATATGATGGGAGTCTGGGGGAAGGAAAAGCCCCCAAAATCTCTTTGGCGACTCAAAGTGTTGGAATGACCAGCTCCTCAGTCAGAAGACCAAAGTACAGTATTCAGCTCACCTCTGGTAGTGTAGTGGTTACAAGTCGGGCTGCCAACCTCAAGGTCAGCAGTTTGAAACTACCAGCGGTTCCATGGGAGAAAAGTTAGGCGTTCTGCTCTTGTAAAGATTTACAGCCTTGGAAACCCTGTGCAGGGTCACTATGAGTCGGAACCGACTCCGTGGTACTTAACAACAGTACCTCTGTGCTCAGGGGCTGGCAACCAGCTGCTTTTTCTTTTCTGGAGAGGCCGAGGGTGTTCCTTGGGATGCTAGAGTGGGGAAAGCATCCACCCAAGATCCCACTCATGTCGTTATCAGCAGTAGCCAAAAGGCTCAGAGCCCCATCCTTGGAGAAGCACCAGTCATCCCAAATCTACAGAATGCCTGCAAAAGCCTGGAGGCTGCTGGGGACACTGAGGAGAAACGGAAACACCACCGCCGTCGCCACCACTGGCTGATGCCGAGTTTTATTGAGACAATGTACAAACAGGCCATGGAAAACATGGGTTTTGATGCTGGGACCAGTAATGCAAAATGGAATACAAAAATAAAAAGATACTAATCTGTTAAGAAAAGACACTCGATGAATTCTAAGAATATAAGTCATTTAATACTGTTAATTTTATAGCACAAAATAAAACAAGCTATGATCCCCAAAAATAATTTTAACAGCTTAACACAGAAAATATTATTGCCTGAAGTTTATGGTCTTTTAAGTTACAGATCAAAAGGGCTTTGTGGTGGTGATATGGTTGCTTGAAAACACACAGTGAAGATAGTCTCAGAAGCAAGGCCACTGTTTCTCCTGTAGACATTGATTCTGTCCCAGAGAACTGTCCTGCTCCACCAGAATATGCAACCCACTCAGTGTCCACACGGACAGGAGTTACCAGGGGACATAGTTCTCTAGTTCCCAAGGGTGGACGCTGAGGTAGAGCTCAGTGGTATCCATAGAAAGCATTAGTTTTTAGGTCACGTGTTAAAACAATTGAGATCTCACTCATTTTTTAAAGAGGTTAATGAATGTAATATTAAAGGACTAAATTACAAACACCTGGTACAAAAACACAGCCTATCCTTTTTCACAAGCAGATATCTATCTTCCTCTGAGACACGTGACAAGGGCAGTGGCCAGCACCTCGAGGCCTGCCTTGTCTGCAAACAGCTGTGCTGGGAGACCAGCATGATGCTGAGAATACAGCTGCCATCTTTCCCCTCTGTCATCAGGGGTCCGGTCTGAGAGACCCATCTTTATAAGGCAGCCGTTGAAGCTCTTGGTTATACGGCTAGTAAAACCACACAGCTCAGGAGAGGCCAGAATGACTCCTGTGTGAGAGAGATCCTTCCCAGGATAAATGAGTTTTGATTTAAACTGTCAATGCCCTTTCATATGTAATGTTTCGTTCCCCAGTCAAAAATCAGTCACAGTTCATTTAACAGCCAAACATTTTCTTAAGGAACACGAGATAGAGCGGAGCAAGGGGTGCATGCCATCATCAGTCATCAAAAGGAGAATGCCCCTGAACTGCTGCTTTGTGACGTGCAGATGGAGGCTCCTGGACAGGTGGGAGGATTTCGGTATCCCGGACAGTTCGGTTCCAAGGTTGTGGTGCCACTTTTCATGTCTAGTGTGGTTAAGAAAAAGAGGAAAGTTCCTGGCCTGGCGGCCTGATTAGGAACGGACACAGTTCCAAATCAAAAGTTCCTACTTTTGGCACAAATCTGGAAAGCTCGGATCTCTGGTTGGAGGTGCAGTCTCCCATGTGGTTTTAGGGATTCCCATGGGTTGGAACCATGAGTTGACTCAAGTCAGGACCAACCCAGGTTTACAGTGTGAGTCTGAAGGGCTCCATTCAAGGTGGACCTTGTAGACAGGGCTGAAAGAAAACCTCGTTTTCTCAAGGGGCCATGCACTTCCGGTGTGCTGAGCCAATGGCAGTGTCAAAGCCAAAACTCAATTTAGTTTAAAACAGCCTGAGGGTTTGTGCCCTCTTCTAACAAGGCAACACCTCCACCGAACAGATGTAATAAGAGTTCTTGCATGGAGGTTTCTAGCGGGGCTGAGCTCACAAGGAGCTGTGTGGCAGATAGGCACCGTCAGAGCAGGGGGTGACTACCATTCTCCCTGGATAGGGAGGCCTGGTTGGTAAGCATTTTCCTGGAAATTTATGGCTAAGGTGGTATTCTTTTTTTTTTCAGTGAACCATTAATTTTGTCACAGGAGCAATTTTCTGTGGCTCAACAGAACACAAATTTAGATAGAAACTGACAGTAAGCTGTTTGGATGGTCCTATCATCAGAATATAGTTGAGGCCTCCAATTTTTCCAACGACAGGGCCATGGCCATGGCTAAAGTAGATGCTTGATGAACAGTACTGAGTCCCTCTCCTTAGGGTGCTGCTACATTTCTAAGAAGGTCTTACTCTGAGCCTACATTTGTCTTTGTCCATTCTGTTTGCACAGTAGATATGGGAACAGCTATATGTTTGTATTCACTGGCTGGCAGGAGTTAACACAGGGCGATGTTTTTAAAGCAAACTGGGAAATTAAGAGTTATTGGTTCACTCCAGCCACCAAACTATCTGATGTCAAACTCATTGATCAATATCCAGAGTTTACTTTTGCTTGCCCAATGGCACCATGGATGCAAGACTGCTGAACCAAGGTCAGCAACTTCCCTGGTAGCTTGGGTCTGGGAGGAAGGGTGGTATCTTGGGGAGCTGAAATTAATTCAATGATTCTGTGAATTGCCTCACTTTTTAAAGAAATTGTTAAGCCTCACACCTTAAGAGAATTCATTCATTGAAGAGCTGGACAAAAATTGGCAAACAAGGTAAGCAACTGTTTTTCTCTTACCCCCTAATGCTTTGGAGGACAATGTAGTAACCCAAGAGGTTATGCATACACACTGGCACATCACAACTACTGATTTGTTTGTGATTTGACGAAACAAGGTAAAACTGACATACTGAGACAATGAGGGTCATGTTTCCAGCCCATTCTCTTCACACTCCTTTAGTTACAGCAGCTCCATTCTAGAAGCTCAGAGGCACATGTCAATCCTTGTGATGCCACGAAAATCCAATCTGCTACACTTCTCAACCAGTTCAGAACATACACACACAGACTTACATGTTGAACTAGTCTTCCAAAACCAAACCAAACCAAAAGAAAAGAAAAGGCCAGATTTGGGAGTTTAGAACAACATTCTCTTCTTTGAGGTTCCTGTCTCTGTTCTCCAAACGAACAGAAAGATGGTGGCTGGGTCCCTTGCTTTGTGGATCAGCTTCAAACCTCCCCCGATGAACACTACAGCATCAGTCATAGCACAAACAGGCAGAAGATGATCCTTTTCCTTGTCAACGTCTCTTCACTTGTGTGTGCTTCCACCATGATTTCCAGTTTCTGATCCAAAAGAACTCTACAATCAGCTGGCTACTTGCTGATGATAAAACTATAATACAAATGCCAAGAGGCAGCAGCCTGCTGTGTGAATTCCAAATGTGTGTGAGAGAGCCCTTCTGCAAAGAGCAGAGCAGGCATTTGCAATGCAGTGGCACTGGCCCAGGAGAGAATGCGTTCCCACTTCAAAGGAGACTATGACAGGCAGAACAAGAAGCAATAGGGGCAGGGCAGCAGCTATCATTCATTTTCATCAGGGTTTTGTGGGTCGAAGATTTTGACATGGGTAAAGGGGAAAAGCCCCTTGCGCCCATTCACCTCGCCTTCCCACTGGCCGTTTATATTCATCCTTGTGACCTTTACAATGTCACCAACCTGCAAGGACAGGGAGAGAGGACAGTTAGCGTATTCACAAATGAAAGGAAAAGCAAATTCACACATTACACCTCAGATATAGTTCTATCATGAGTAACCTGGACACTTTGTTAGCTCCCATTCACTTTTGTGTTTTCAGTGCTCACTTACTGCTGAGCTTACCAACAACACAAGGTGCCGCTGGTGAGCCCCACCACGTGAAGGAGCTCTAAGCACACAAGTTGGCTCCTCATTTTTAGCTGGGGCAGAAAGGGACACTTGACACTGAGAACCATTGAAGTTACACTAAAAGATTTAGAGAACAAAAACAAACAAACAAAATTGAACAGTCTCTGCCCAAATCTACAATGGGAAGGAACTGTTGTTGCATGGAGACATCCATCACCATGAAGCCTCCCCCAAGTAGCACAAGGTGTTTGGCTGTCCTCATTCCCTGCTTTGTGGATAGTCACAGAGAACAGAAAGATTAGTTCTGAGCAACTTTTTGTGTCTACCTGAAATCACACGGTAGAAGAAATTCTGTTCACTGCCACAGAGGACAGGTACCCCATTAGAGGTGATCTGCTCCTCAAGGGAAGAAAATTGTACGCAGGTGTTTCATTTAGAAGTAGATTCCAAGTTGTTCTGGAAACCTAGAGTTTCAGGAAGATGAGTTAAGGATCCAATGTCTTGCTGGCGTTTCAATTTTTAAAATTCTATTTTATAAAGCTATAATAAAAAACACATTCAAATACAGTATAGCCACCAACACACTAATGTGCTCCCATGCTTTATGCAGACTTTCCTTGAAATGAAGTTTCTTTTGGTACGTGTCCGATTGAAAACTATACCTCACCCCTCAAACACACATAAAATGGCATGAGATAAAGGTTAAATAAATGAAAAAAAACAAAAACAAAGATAACTCAGAAACATATGACATGTGTCTGTTATTCATGTCATTTCTGATTTTCTCCACCAATTAGAACACCTGTTTTCCCTAGTACGCTCGCTGCCTCTTCTTCAAGTTATTTTTATAGCTATATAAGTTATTATATAGTTATAAAATCTTTAATCAAGAAATGTACGTCAGGGTGGTATTCACCATACTTAATCAATTTGTATACCGAGCGAATAATATAGGAAGCTGAATTATATGAAGAATGTGACATCAAGATTGGAAGAAGACTCATCAATAACCTATGATATGCAGATGATACAATTTTGCTTGCAAAAATTATAAAGGACTTGAAGCACTTACTGATGAAGATCAAAAACTACAGCTTTCATTATGAATTATACCTCACTGTAAAGAAAACAAAAATCCTCACAACTGGACCAATAAACATCTCAAGATAAACAAAGAAAATATTGTAATTGTCAAAGATTTCATTTTCCTCACACTAATAATCAATACTTGTGGAAACAGAAGTCAAGAAATCAAACTACATATTTTACTGGACAAATCTGCTACAAAAGACCTCTTCTAAATGTTAAGGAGCAAAGATATAATTTTGACTACTAAGATGTGCCTGACTCAAGCCATGCCTTTTAAAATCACCTCATATAAATGTGAAACCTAAATAATGAATAAGGAAGACTGGAGAAGAATTAATACCTTTGGATTATGGTTTTGGCAAAAAATATTGAAAGTACCAAAGATAGTCAGAAGTACAAATTTGTGTTGGCAAAATGATCCTCAGAAATGAGGATGATGAGACTAGTCTCACATATTTTGGATTTATGTGATTGATCAGGAAGAACTAGTCTCTGGAAAAGGACATTATCATGTTGGTACAGGGTCAGTGAAAAAGAAGAGTCTTCACAGAATGGACTGAGGCAGTGGGCTCAAACATAGCAACAATTGTGAGGATGGCAAAGGGCAGAGCAGTGTTTCGTTCTGTTGTTACTATGGATTAAGTGACCTGACAGCACTTAACAACAACTACAATGCACTATCTCACTTGTAAAAAGAGAGTACTGATGTATGTAGCTGGCAAGTCAATGGTTTGCAAAGAGTAACCAAGAATCCAAGAGTTGCCAAGACAGCCTTACAAATCCCCTCACCCATACCTTGTGATGCCTAGTGGTGGGCCAGAGCTAACCCTGCTACTGCTTCTTGACTTTCCTTGTCACTAAGTCGGTCACGGCCCTGAGATGTGAGGTGGATGCAGATAAAGGAGGCTCTTTGTGAAACAACTTCATTTGAGTTATTTAAAGAAGATGCTCATGCAGAAATACCAAAATCCACTAATAGTGCTGTTTGAAATGTAAGGCATCTAAAATGAAGGAAGACCATGTGAAGGAAGAACCAAACTCCAAACACTTGTTAACATAAGAATAGCCATTCTCATAAGAGAACATCTAGAAATAACTCTCTTTATATAGGGGGGTCTGGAGACATGGTTCTTAGGTAATTCCAAATCCCTCCTAAATGAGGGGACTTCAAAAACTTAATGGAAAAATCCTGTTACCTGTTCCATTTTTCCATGATTTTTTTTTTTCTTTTCTCTCTCCTCTGTTCAAAATCAAGGTTGCGGCATAGTACAAGAACTTGCAGCACTCACTGATGACCACTAGCTTTTGTATTTTGTAATATCCTCCATTGAGTTCCTTCGGGTATCTTTAGGGAAAAACTTTATTTTCTATCTGGGGCCTCTCAGTGGGTCTAATTCTGACAGCACACACAAAGCTAACTCCCTGCTGCATTCATAGACTTGAGGTTGGACTCCTAGTCTTCCAACCAATAACTGATTCCCAAGCTTATTCTTTTTTATTATGTTTTTATTGTAAATTGATTGTTTACAGAACATTGGTTTTACACTCATCATTTCATTGCAATGATTACAATCCCCTCCATGCATCACCATTCAACAATATTTGCTTCTATTCTTCTTTTTTGGAGGGGGAGGGATGGTACACAAAAACACTCAGGGCGGAGGGAAGAAGTCTTCATCCTACCCCCTCTGTATAAAGGGGTGAAGATAGGGACGGGCAACTTAGACACAGCTACCTAAAATGGGAGGACTATAAAAAGCACTAAGTGACTTGTTTATAAGTTTTCAAGAGGGAGTTTAGTTTCAGAGTGTGCGGGGGAAGGTGAAATCCCCACCGAATGGTTTTCATCTAGTCTAGATGGGTCTGGTGAAGGAGATAGGATAAGATTCTTATTGTCACAACTGTAAAAGTAAAAGTTTTATAACATAAAGGGGGGAGTACTTAATCTTACAATCCAGGCACAGAGGACCCCAGTACTATCAAGGAAGAGCATGACCAGAATATGGAACACTATCCAGAGAAGCAGAAACACCAAACATGGAGGCAGAGATGAAGACATGGAGAAAGAGAAAGAAGCTGAGGACTCTAAATTCATGGAAAGAGAAAGGCTGTGTGCTGGCGGCCAGAAGGCAGGCTTGCAGAATGTGCCTTTTGGTTGTTTAAATGATTATATATTCCTGAATGTTTTGGTGTACATCCCTTCCGCCCCCCGCAAAAAAACAAAACAAAACACAAAACAGTCAGGAATAAATAATCATTTAAGGAACCAAACAATTTTTTGGTTGGCAGTCAAGTGCTTTCACAATTGCACCCTGAAGGGTCCTATAATGAAAGGCAAGGGACCTTCAAATTGTCAAAGCATCTTGAAGAAGAATTAAATAAGAAGAAATTACACTTAAGATTTCAAAACATTTGCCTAAAGAGAAAACCCAGAAGACAGGAATTAAGAAGGAAGGAATATTTGAAACAAAATGTATATGAACTGCTGAATAGAAAACCAATTTGTTTGGAAATCTTCACCAAAATCACACTAAAAAAATTAAAAACAGTCTAGTACTAGTGTCATGAAGTACAACGCTATCTGTGATAATATAATATCCATGCACCTACAGGAAAGACCAGAGTCCTGGTGTGTTGCTGTGGGTTAATGCGTCAGATTGCAAAGCTATTTGAACAGCAAGGTCAACGGTTGAAGCTCACCAGCTGCTTCTCGGAAACCCTATACAGGGTTACTATGGGTCGGAACCGACTCGACAGCACTTCACAACAACAACAGGAAACACCAATTAATACGATTATGACTCAAATTTACGCACCAACCACTAAAGCCAGTGAGGATGAAAGAACAGAATTCTACCAACTTCTTCAATCTGACATTGATCAAACATACAATCAAGATGTATTGATCATTCGGGCGCATGGGGTCCCCTGCCTTCCTCGGATGGCGGCTGTTTATGCTGGACGTGTGGCCAGAGACGGGTAAGGATCACGTGGAACCTCGGCTACTTAAGACAGAGCCATTGCCATGCTGCAATGAGTCTCAATGACTGATAAGACTGAGGAATTCGCACTGACCACCTAAGACAGGCAGCGTCCCTTAAACAATCAATAA